GGGGGGGTTGGGGGTAGGAGGTAGGTGACGAATTTCATTCACATGGTGATTCATTTCACTTTGCATTTCAGCTCCAGTTAATGACCTAACGAAAAAGAAATTTGAGCTCCCCCCACCCCACCCGATCGAATAATTCGAGGTAATTTTTTTTTCTACAAAAAAATTGATACCACATCAGCATTTGGCCTGTTGTGAGGGTGTTGTAATACTCCTAAACGATACATGTTTTTTGTCTTTAGGCCCGAAATAATCATCTCACTTTGGGTCAGATACAGATTTATGGGGAAGTAAAGCGAGCCTGGATCCTCGAATAAAGGAACTCACAATCTACGCTGTTTCCTTCTCTACCTACTAAACTTCGGTAGAAAACGAAAAAAGATATAGCGTGGACATTATTTGAGGAAGAAGGTTGAAGACAATCTGCACCTAGAATCCCGCTTCCCCAAGTACTGCATTGACTTTCAAAAAGAGGCGAGCAGAATAGGAAGCATATTCCAGTATTCCCAGCCCCTCCAAGCAAGAGTGGTTAAAGGAAAAACGACTTACACTCCTGGCAAAAAATGCGAAATATTTGATGGAATATCTTTCACTTGGACATTGGGGCAATAAATTTGTCGAACGACATCAAGAAGTTGGAAGAGATGGCATGTGATTAACCGGTTTTTGCAAATATTGTAACTGGAATGCGCTAGTTGCAGGAGAAATAGGACGGGTATGTACATACATACACACACACACACACACACACACACACACACACACACAAAAGATCCATTTATATTGGTAAAATAGGAGAAGCAAGTCTTCTGTGAGACATCTCAATTGAGTTTCAGACGAAAACATCGACATTGCGAAAGTTCACAACACAAATTGACAAGATAGTAGTTTATACAAAACTAAATCTTCTCAATTTCATGGTCATCTTTAAACCGATTTTGAGAATAGGAACCCACACTAATAAAATCTAGTAATTACATTATTCGCTACCCAATAAGTGAGCGAAAACACATCACGTGGGCAAATATCCCCCTCCCACTCCACCCTTTCGACTGGCCGTGAAGCTTTGTGGAAATAGAAAAATCGAGTATGATTAAGATTGCCTATAAAGGTGCACCAGCTATTTGAGCTCCTGTTGCCTCGACGCGGAAGAAACTCGAAAGAAAGACACTAAAAACACCAATCACCCATTTACACTGAGGGACTTTAGCAACAGAGCCAAACACCAGTTTAAGAAGAAATATCGGCTGACATGAAAAGGCTACAATTGAATCAGATAGGCAATGTGGAAGTACCTGTAAGTTGGGCGAATGTTGGCCTAGATGTAGGCTCGTGATTCCAACACGATCTCATAACTGCATCAAATACCGCGTCGGGACACGCATCCGGTTGGCTCAAACGCTGACAATTTGGAACATCAACCGCCTCCAAGATCTGTCGACCAGAGAGACCAGCCCATGGAACAAACCCGTAGGTGAACATCTCCCACAGAGTCACCCCGTACGACCAGACGTCGCTGGCACTGGTAAAACGCAATTCATGAATGGCTTCCAGAGCACACCAAGCGATTGGGAGACGGAGGTTGGCGTTGAAGTTCGTTTGGTAGTATGACTTGCCCAATTGGAGGGCCCGACTTAAGCCGAAATCTCCAATCTTCACCTAGAACGCAAGAAACAAAATACACAAAACGAATAATGTTATTAAAGCCCAGAAATACGCGATTACAGAAATTCGATATTTTTTAGACACGATCAACGACGATATATATATATATATATATATATATCTTAGCCTTATAATCTCACGCCTGGAAAATTAAAGGGCACAAAATATAACTTTTTTCCTGCACCCAGGGCAACGTATTCTCATACGGCAAAAAAGTCTATTAACCGGCAGTTGACTTCTCACTTCAAACTACCCTCATTCCATTGTATGTCATAGTTGACCACTTCTACAGTATTCACCTTACCCTACTCTCTATCATTGTGTCTGTCTCTTTTACATCTGCAAATCACTCTTCAGTCCACCCTCTTGAACTTTGATGTTTTTCCCCTCAGTGAAGTTCGAAGTCAGCTAAGGGCTAATGATAACTATCAAAATGTCTGCCATTCGAAGTAAATTTTTTAAAAAACAGCACGTTTACTTGCCGACATAAAGAATTACCTTGAAAAAGGCACGATTTCTGCCATATTGACTGATTATATCCGCCCTTCTCTAGCTACTTTTTTACCACAATTTTTTTAATGGGGTTTTAATAAAACGAGCCCACAGTGAGAGCTACCATGTCAAGGTTTTAACAAACAAAAAATCGATCCAATTTATGGATACTACTACTGGAGGTTCTATTAAGGAAAATGCGCATCTCAAAAGCATCATTAAAATGTCATTCACTTATAAGTATTGTGCATGGCATTAGGCATTATATAATTTATATAATTAGATAATTTCCGTCATCATTTCCACACTCCCCTCCCAATGCTCTTTTTGGTGAAAAGTTGTTGCCTTGGATGTGTTCAAGTGCATTTCGACTTCAACCCCCCCCCCCCCTCGAAATCTAGGTAACTGAAAGAGTTGTGATTAAGTGAGCGTGGAAGATATGACAGAGCTTCAACATTTAATCCCTACATGCAATAAATGATAGACTCTGATCAATTGAAGAGGGAAATTATATCATTGGTAGCTGAAAGGACAGAAATGATTGGAAAGAAAGAGGATTGGAAGCAACCTTTGAGGTAATAAGCTAGTAAAAAAACTATCCTAATGGAGAATAATCGATAATAAAGTGACATTAAGGTCAATGAATCAGCAACAGGCATGAAGTAGCATTTTGTAAATAAAATCCTGCCACCATACCACAGCGAGTAGAAACAGACACCCAATTACAAAAGATTTAAGTTTGTGCCCAAAAGGCTATTAATTCCGTTTCAAAGAACTTTAAAGAAAAGAGACAAGGAAGAGATGCCTTGAAAGCATATGAAAAAAAAATTGTTGGGTTGAAAATCACTAAAAATTGGGATTTTAGGTAGACGAAAACGAAGATTGTGAAGGCAGTCGTGCAAAACGAACAGGTAATGCATCATAATTGGGATGAATGAGGGATAGCACAGTGTTACTCAGTTAGTGATAAAAAAAGCAAAAATGTAACTACGGCGTGAAGGCTGCTATTTCACCTCAAAAAGAAACGACATCGTAATGGCGAAACGGCAAATGCGAAATGCAGTCAATTCCAGTGATATGGAAGAGTTGCTCTATTTTGTCACCTCTCCAAGTGATGCAGTGCCAACAAATGTCGCCAAAAACCGAGCGAATCGGATGATAGGGAATATAACGCAATACAGAGAGTAATAAGACATACTCTGTCCTTAGCGAAGACAAGAATGTTTCGAGCTGCAAGATCGCGATGAACCAAGCGCTCCTCTTCAAGATAGGACATGCCTCTAGCGATCTGAATGGCGAATGAATGAAGCGTAGAAACCGGGAAGGAGGTACGAAGATCTGGTTCACGTAAACACTCAAGGAGAGACCGAAGGGGAGCTAATTCAGTCACCTAGATAGTATAAACGGAAGGGGAGTTATATGCGTTTCAGGTGAAAATAGACGACGGTTCAAGAGAGAGAGAGATTGGTACTTACCAATCGAAGACATTTAGAAGCTACACAGACACCATATAGTCGGACAATATCGGGATGATCCAATGCGTTCATTATTGCAGCCTCCTTCAAAAAGTCATCCATTTTAGTTGGAAAACGATCTAGATCAAGAACTTTCACAGCGACTTGGATTTGTCGACCCATTGACGCTGGTCTCCATGATCCCTAGTGGAAGAAAAAAAACGAATTGCTTGATTTTAGAAGACGCGTATTACTGATTAATTTCAGTAGTAGATTGTTAGGGGCAGTGATTGTGATCAGGCCAACTTCCACCCACCCCAATTGAACTAGATCATGAGAAGCGGATAAGTAGATTAATTATGCAGGATCAAATACAGCCGGCTTAAAAGACGAATTTAATTAGCAATTTAAGTATGGAATTACTCATTCAGCTCCATTTTGCAAGAGATTCGGTCAGATTGGAGATAATTAAATTAAATAGTAAATAAAATTAGCCACGGTAAGTCAAGTGAACATAGGTGAAGAGAAGGTAGTTGAAAAGCATGTTTTGTTCTGAAAATTGTTGTAAAATAGAAGAAATTGGCAAAGAAATCGAAAAAAATTTTTACTTCCCAAGCCCGGTTATGTAAAGCGTTTCCCAATCTCCAACTTGAGGAAAGGAAGTAGACCCTGACGGTTTCTCCATTAGCCCTACATGACCAGTGCGGGTGGCCATTACATGCACTACGGGTGTGCCGTTAGATAAAGCCTTGTTAATCTGTGATTATGGAGTTCTCCTAATCTGTAGCTGACCTAACGAGGTGGATGAAGATAGAACAGGGGATAAAGGAGGCCGGCCATCTTAAACCTACTTGAAAGGACCTGGGAAGTGATCGCTTCGTGCATTCTCCAACACTCACAAACATTTGTTACTTTCGATGGCTTCATTAGCCTTTTAGGTGACTTCAGGCCTCACAGAGGAGAAAAAATATCAAAGTGCAAGAGAGTGGGGGGTGGGAAACAGAAGAGTGTTTCAAAGACGTAAAAGAGACAGACACAAAGGTAGGTGAAAGGTGAGGTGAGTACTGTAAAAGTGGTCGAATATGACATAATCAGTGGGGTCATGATAGCTTGAACTCAGAAGTCAACTGCCGGTTTATAGACTTTGTTGTCGTATGAGTATACGTTGTCCAGGGTGCACCACGTGGGGGTAAGTCTATCGCACACCCCCACACGCCTGCCACGCACAAACATCTGTCACTTTGAAGAAATATGAACCAATGCGCACGGGGCCCTATTTAATGAGCGTTTTTCATCAATAAATATCCCCATCATCAATCCTCCAAATAACCTCCAGGTTTGAATAAGTCACAGGTGATGATAAATGATGAAGCATACATCTATCGCAAGTTACGAAACTACCAAAGCTTGAAAGCAAACGAATATACTTCCTGTTTGACACCACATTTTACCAAGGCTATACCACACATCAGCCAAAAAACTTCATTTAAGAAGGTGAAATACTCGATAAAAAAGAGGGCACGCAATAAGTCCTGAAGAATTCCGGTAAAAGAAACGCGGACGCGCGCGTGCGCCCAGCAAAAGGGGCAAATTCTGTTCCCTGTTAAGATCTTCCAGCAAATCGCTAAAAGTGCAATATTGAAATGCGACTACAACAGCTCTCAGTCTATTTCAGCGGTATACCAGAAGCGTGATTGGTTCGGATTAGAAGCAATTAGTGCCCGTATGGCGAAATGGCAATTTCCCAGCCAGATACTAACAATGATTCCTGGTAAAAAATAATATCCCTAATCATAGACTATTGGGGTTTTAATAAGAACCAATGGAGGCGGGTCATTTTTTAGAAAATTCGGCCACTATAGAACCATAATTCGAATTCAGTCTAGTTGTCCCAACACGAGCGTCACAAAACTAAATTCTCACCCAAATGTAAGGGATTATGCCTCAAAACTCAAATTGGAGTGAAACATACAAATTCCACGAAAACACGGGGGAATTGTACGATAATTTCATTGGCAAATAAAAGCGGTTGTACAAGCCCTTAAAGAGCACTTAGTAACTTGGACATAAAGACCAAGAGGTAAGTGAATTAGTTATGTTAATCAAGTCAACAACACGTAGGAAACACTTTCAACCCTCGAAACAAAGTCTCACAGAGAAGAAAGATCTACCAATTGTCACCCCTCTCATGACAACTACAAAATAGTCTTCCGGCATTCACCTCGGATGGAGTGGAGGGGGCTCCTTAATAAGAGACTCAAATACAAACACACACACACACACACACACACACACACACACAAACATCCATTTATAAACTGGATATGGCCAATGAGATAAGTATTGCAGGATGAGAAGAGATGAGGATACTGAGGTCACGTCCCCGATGTTGCTGCAAAGCAGGTAGGCGGGGGTGTGACGAGGATGAAGAAAGTTCTAACATACTTAACTAGCGAATATAAGTTTGGAATGACGGGGGTGTGTGATAGACTTACATCCACGTGGTGCACCCTGGGCAACGTATACTCATACGGCAAAAAAGTCTCTTAACTGGCAGTTGACTTCTGACTCCAAACTACCATCACTCCACTGTATGCCATATTCGACCACTTTCGCAGTACTCACCTCACCTTTTTTCTACCTTCGTGTCTGTATCTTATACATCTTTGAAACACTCTTCTATCCCCCCCCCTCTCGACTTTTTTTCACTTTGATGTTCCTTCCCGCCTGTGAAGACTGAAGTCAACTAAATGGCTAATGATAACTATCAAAACGCCTGCCATTTGATATAAATAAATAAATAAGTTAGGGCTGACTTTACATTATCCAATTGATCCAAAAGTTTGGCTGTTTCCTGGAATAAGACAAAACAAAGAAGCAAAAAAACCCGAATTTCAAGATACAGACAACGTGACATTTTAACTGGCCGCCGCCACTGGTGGCATTAAAATATATACCGCTTCATTTATTTTGGCTAGACTTAGCGCATCTTGGGGACCTTATTCCGTATGGGGGAAGCATTTAGACACGATGACGAAGTTGGACCTCTAGCAGACCAAAACCCAGTGAGAGGACTAGTTAATAAACCAAACGCGAGAATACGCATGCACTCAGTCGAAGCAATTTTATTTTTTTATATCAAATGGCAGGCGTCTTGATGGTTACCATTAGCCCATTAGTTGACTTCAGGCTTCACAGAGGGGAGGGAACATCAAATTGAAAAAAAATCGAGATGGGGGGGGGGCAGAAGAGTGTTCCAAAGATGCAAGAGACAAACACAAAGGTAGAAAAAAGGTGAGGTGAGTACTGTGGAAGTGGTCGAATATGACATACAGTGGGGTCATAGTAGTTTAAAGTGAGAAGTCAACTGCCGATTAATAGACTTTTTTGCCGTATGAATATACGTTGCCCAGGGCGCACCACGTGGAAGTAAGTCTATCGCACACCCCCAGTCGAAACAATCTAATATGAAAAAATGATATTGTCAATCAGTGGTGACTATTTTCGCCTTTCGAGGCCACAGATTCCCAA